GAAATCCCCCCCCCGCCCCCGAGATGGCCACACCACAATCCTTTCTCCTCCATCCTCCTCTCAGGATCTTGGGCATGCATGCGCATGTGCCCAGCGTGAGTTTGAAGCTGCCGGGTCTGGGACTCAAACTGAGATTGGCATGCGAGAGTCCAGCAATGTAACTATTAGGCCATCTGCTGGTCCCACACCATCCTCCTTTAAACCAGGCAACAACCCCTTTGGGTCTAGGACACCTGCCACCGCCACTTAAGATGAGCAGCCAGCGTATCCTATCGCTGCACTGTGCTGGGGACCGGGTAAACAGTATCTCGTTTCATCTCCAAGGTAAGTGTTGGTTTCCTTTTGTTTTATCACAGTGGGAGGGGGAGACAGGGAAAGGGAGATTTAGGTTTGTTTTTGTTTTCTAAGTTTATTTTATTTCCTTCGCTGGGAGAAGAGCAGGTTCCCTTGACCGGGCCTGGCCATGTCAAAGATCCTCCCTGCAGCCTCCCAGCCAGCCGGGACCTTGGGAGTCCATGAGCACGCACCACGTGTTTAGGCCAGCCCATGATCCAAACCCAGCCTCCCATATGGCTCCAGCCCTTCTGCCCCCCACGGCTGGACCCAACACAGGTGATCTGACAGGGTCTGGCCATGTCAGGATGCCCTGGCCCAGCCTCCCGTCTGTTGGGATACCAGGTGTGCACACCCGGCCTGTTTGAGGTTGATTTGGATCGGAACCTGGGCCTCTCATGCAGCCCAGCCTTGCATGGGGTGGCCCTACTGCTTACGCCACCCTAGTAGGGCTGCTCTCAGACAGAGGAACAGGCTCAGAGCACCTGGGAAGACGCCGGAGTTCTACCAGGGTCACACCACTGGTAAACATGCGTCCAGGCACGTGTGTGACCGCCGCACCGCAGCAGCCGGGCCTTCATTCAGACCCAGGTGTGCCCCACTTGGAAGGCATGGTTCTCCACCACCTTGTGGTCTGCACCGTGGCTGAGGCTTTCACTTCTGCTCGGCTGTGGGCTCTCCTCCGGGGTCCCAGGGCACTTCCTCGCCATCTCTCAGGAACCCAGACTTGTCTGCTTGTACGCAGCTTTGGCTGCGGGAGGGCAAGGACCCCCGTCTGACGCAGCTCTGGGTCCTCAGGGCTCGCAGGGTGCCTGGTGGTCGGTGTGTGTGAGGTCAAGGACTCGAAGGGTGAGCAAACTAGCCTCACGGTTTGCATTACTTCAGTGAGTGGCTTATTTTATGCGTTGGGGACACGGGGTACAAACGGCTCCACTCCCAGTTGGTGTGGCTCACTTCTCAGACCGCCTCTGGGCAGACGGCCTCTGTCGCCAAGTGGTTGAGATTGTCCGTGCCATCAGATCAGGTGCCATTTGATGTATCGCAAGGGCTGTTGACCCCTCCCCCGAGGAATTACAAAAGCAGAACACTTGAGATGCAAGTTAGACCTGGTTTTACAGACAGTGGCGTTTACAGCTCTCAGGCCGACTCGGGTGTTGAGGTGCAGCACCCACGCGCTTCCTTGACACGCGTGCATGAGCTGGCCCTGGCCTCGCTGCCCAGCTCCGTCTTGCGCCACCCTGGCTTGTCAGGTCTGCAAATGCGTCATGTTGCTGCCCGCCTCAGGCCCTTTGTGCATGCCATTGCTGTGGCCAGGAGTTCCTTCCCCTCCCTGTCTGCCTAGTTGGCATCGACTCACCTTTGAGCTCCTGGATTAGATGGGTGCCACCCCATCAGGGAAGCCATCCTGAAGCCTCTGCCCTTGCCTAAGTACCGACGACATACTGTCACCCAGTCACACGAAGCTTTATTTCACAGTGCCCCTAGTCTTTCCCGGGCCCTGTCTGTGATTATTTGATGGAGGTCGGCTTTGTAAACACTGTGGCGTGCTCACCTTTATTTAGGTCTTTGGTTGGAGTTCCAAAGCGAGCGTTGGGCGGAGAAGCCAGAGCCGCCCCTGTAGGACTGGTTAATGCCCGCGCTGCGCCTGATAAACTCTCCGAGACCGCCTGGTGTTGAGCTGCCACCCTATGAATGTGTCTGGTTTCTTAATCTCACCTCACCTGCTCTGCTCCCTAGCACACGGGACGTTGCTAAGACGGGGGCCTCGAAGCCCAGAATAACAAACCTTCCTGCAGTGCGCCATACGACAACCATCGTCAAGTGGCTTCTGGGAAACAAGGTGAAAAGCACCATTGCCAGCTACAGGCATGGACCGCCCAGAGGACCGCAGGACAGGGCACGGGGGGGACGCTGAGTTTGCAGGAGCAAAGTGAGGTTCCGTCCTCAGCCGCCTTCCAGGTGCAGTAAAGCCAGCCTCACCCACTGAGCTCTCGATTCTATCCTAATGACACGTTCGTGGGTTTTTTGTGTATTTTCGAGGTTCTTACCTTAGGGCGTGTGTGCTCAATGATGAGAGTAAGAGAGACAGTGAGAGGAAAAGTGAGAAATCACCCCCCTGCAGCCCCTTCTCCTCCATTTTCCTCCCAGGATCTTGGGCACGTGCACACACATGCTTGATGTGACTTTCTAGCCACCGGGTCTGGGACTCAACCTGTGGCTGAGAGCCCCGTGGCGTAACCGCTATGCCATCTGCTGGTCCCCACACTTTTACTGTTTTTAGTGTTTTTGTATTGTTTGATTTAAAATGTCTTCTTTGGGGCCAGCAGGTGGCATCGTGGTTATGGCAGCTGGACCGCACATGGCCGACTGCGCCGTCTGAGCCCGGCACCTGGCGACTGGAAAACACGCTGGGCGCATGTGCGTGTGTGCCCAGGGCGCCAAGAGGAAAATGGAACAGAAGGTTCGCGGTGTGCCCATCCCCCGGGGTGCCTTCTCACGTTTGCTCTCTCTCTCTCTCTGGCAAGTGCATAGCAAAAAAAAAAAAATCTTTTTTTGGGGGTACTTCTATTTCTGTCTAAAAGATCTGTTCACAGGATTAAAAAAAATCTGTTCAAATTCTAAAAATATCCTTATATCAGTGCTTCCCAATGGCTGAGATCATTTCTGAGAGGTAAATTATCTAAGGTAATTGAGTTACCTCCTCCTAAGGTGACATGATACTCTTTAAGAATGGCACTGGCTAAGGGCCACTGGATGGCACAATGGTTACGTTGCTGGACTCCCGTAGTCAACTGCCATCTGAGTCCCAGGCCCGGCAGTTGAAACTCATGCAGGCACATGTGCACTTGTGCCCAAAATCCCAAGAGGAGAGTGGAGGAGAAGGGATGGCAGCGTGGCCATCTCCCCTAGGGGATGGTTTCTTGCTGTTTTTCCAAAAAAAAGAATGGTACTGAGAAAACGTAAATGCTAAAATCTAGTTTTATCTTGCAACTATTTCAGACATACAGTAAGGCTACCTCTCTCTCTCTCTTTAAAAAAAAATGTTAAGGGGACCGGCAGTAGGCGTAATGGCTATGTCGTTGGGCTCTCATGTTGTCGACCGCGGTTCAAGTCCCAGACCCAGTGGCTTAAAACTCACGCCGGGCGCATGTGCGTGCGTGCCCAAGATCCTGAGAGGAGGATGGAGGAGAAGGGACTGCGGCGTGGCCATCCCCCGGGGGGTGATTTCTCACTTTCTGTCTGTCTGTCTCTCTGTCCTTCTGGCCAGTGCATGCGCCCTATAGCAAAAACCTGTCAAAAAATTTTTTAAAGTTTTTTTTTTCTGTAGGGCATTTACGCTTATCAGAAAAAGACAAAGACACAGAGAGAGGGAAAGTGAGAACCCACCCCCAGGAGGACTGGCCGTGCTGAAGTCCCTTCTCCTCCTGGGATTTGGAGCACGCGTGCAGATGTACCGGGTACGGTTTTCAAGCTGCCAGGTCTAGGACTCGCACCAGAGTCGACCACGTAAGTCTAACACCTGAACTACCGTGTCACTGGCTGGCCCCAAGACAGCCTCTCTTTATATGAGAAGCTGCTCACGTAGTTAGGTAACTTATGTTGAGTTGGATATGTTGCTAATATTAAAATTTCCCACTCTCAAATTACATGTGAATGTGATAATGATTGCAGAAGAATAATGATCGTAGGTGTTAAAATCCTATGGGCTGAAATACATTTATCCATAACGTTGTTTTTAGTAACTTTCAAATCCTTTAATTTCCTGAAATGTTCCTATGTAGCATCTAACCGTGTTCCCTTACAGAGAAGTGGAGTGGGGGGCTGGCAGGTGGCATGGTGGTTAAGACAGCTGGATTCTCAGTCAACTGCGGTTTGGGTCCCGAACCTGGTGTCTGTAAGTCAGGCCAAGCAGGTATGTATGTGCACACACACGCATGTATGCGTGCTCAAGATCCCAAGAGGTGCATGGAGAAGGACTGTGGCATCATACCCTGGGGGGGTGGTTTCTCACTTTCTCTCCTCTCTGGTGAGCACATGTGCCCTATGGCAAGAACCTTAGAGAGAGAGAGAGAGAAGGGGAAGTGGATATTTTGACTCTCGGACTTCTCCAGGGTGTTGTCGGTTTCCGACTCAGGAGGCGGTGGCTGAGAACTGGCTATACCTTTCTTGGTCTTGCTTGGTAAGAACCAGCCTGAGGAAGAAAGCCCGCATTTATAAGAACACAGCCAAACCTCACCCAACTTCTCTTTTCAGCACCCTAATTAAAAAGGCTAAATGGGGTGGCTCTTCCACTCTCATGAAAATCATCTCTGAAGCGACACTGAAAGCCCGGACAAAGCGGCATTTATTCAGCACAATAGAACTTTGATATGTGCCATGCTTAAAAAAATACTCGCCCGTTAACTTGCCAGGTCTGGTTGAAAGCGACTAACCTTCCTTACTTTTACTCTTGCAAAATAAAAAGAAACCAAAGAAATGTGTTTTTATTACGAAAAATATATATATTTTTTATTGACCGAAGCTGATCAATTCTCTGAGAAGGGACAGAGAGGCACATAGCATAGTCTTTAAAAAAATTAAAGTACAAGTTAAAGCGAAGTGTTTTCATCTTAAGTGGGAAAAAAAAAATGCATATTAAACCTGATCTTTCAGCAAGCTTCCGTTGGGATAAGCAGAGGGACAGCTACAGACCCGGTGAGATGATGCTTTGCTGAGCTTGGGACCAAGGACCTCTGCGCTCAGTAACCAGGGAGACCTCTTCCGGGTAAAACGATGATGTCATCTGATGTCTGTTCACACAAGACCAGAGCTAAAACTCCAAGAGAAGACACTACGATTTCTCAGCTACTCAGGGCCAATTCTAATAAGCTGTTGGTTATCATTTAAATATGTGCACAGTTGGTTTTATTTTTTTTTTTAAATCAGATAGTCAAATAGCTTTTATATAGGGTCCTCTATTTGATGTTCACACTTTTAAAAAACAGTCTCTGGAGCCTTTTTAGAAGTCTTTTTCTCCCTTAGCATAGTTTCAACTTTGTATTTATCCGATGGTGTCTCGTTTTCACACACGTGAAAATATTTTAGACATCGAAACAGTTAACCTGAAAACAAACAAAAGCAGGCGTCTGAAAGATGAACTTTGCTTCTGCTTCCCCTTTGGTATGAAATGTTGTTTGCAAAAAACTACAATCCTCTTTGTGTTAAGGTTAGATTTTCGGTATCGATGTTGGCCTCCTGCCTTCCACATAGATGAGAAATCAGTTTCTGAAAATAAAAAGAAACCAAAGAAATGTGTTTTTATTACGAAAAATATATATATTTTTTATTGACCGAAGCTGATCAATTCTCTGAGAAGGGACAGAGAGGCACATAGCATAGTCTTTAAAAAAATTAAAGTACAAGTTAAAGCGAAGTGTTTTCATCTTAAGTGGGAAAAAAAAAATGCATATTAAACCTGATCTTTCAGCAAGCTTCCGTTGGGATAAGCAGAGGGACAGCTACAGACCCGGTGAGATGATGCTTTGCTGAGCTTGGGACCAAGGACCTCTGCGCTCAGTAACCAGGGAGACCTCTTCCGGGTAAAACGATGATGTCATCTGATGTCTGTTCACACAAGACCAGAGCTAAAACTCCAAGAGAAGACACTACGATTTCTCAGCTACTCAGGGCCAATTCTAATAAGCTGTTGGTTATCATTTAAATATGTGCACAGTTGGTTTTATTTTTTTTTTTAAATCAGATAGTCAAATAGCTTTTATATAGGGTCCTCTATTTGATGTTCACACTTTTAAAAAACAGTCTCTGGAGCCTTTTTAGAAGTCTTTTTCTCCCTTAGCATAGTTTCAACTTTGTATTTATCCGATGGTGTCTCGTTTTCACACACGTGAAAATATTTTAGACATCGAAACAGTTAACCTGAAAACAAACAAAAGCAGGCGTCTGAAAGATGAACTTTGCTTCTGCTTCCCCTTTGGTATGAAATGTTGTTTGCAAAAAACTACAATCCTCTTTGTGTTAAGGTTAGATTTTCGGTATCGATGTTGGCCTCCTGCCTTCCACATAGATGAGAAATCAGTTTCTGGACAAGGGAAACGCAAAATTAATAGAGTGAGAGCCAGTGAGCACCAGGATAGTATGTTCCAAGCTCCTGGTGTCTAATAAAACATTTTCATCAACATAAGCGTGCGAAATACTCTGAGCAGGAAAGCTCAGCAGAGAGGGAGGGCAGGAGGGAGAGAGGGGGCGAGACTCGAGCTCCTGGGACTCAGTGCTTCCCTAGGGTGTTTCCATCACTTTGCACATCTGCTACGGGGTGTGTGCTTCCCCGAGGAGAGGAGGGAGAGGGAGAGAAAGCGAGGAAGCACCCCGGCCCCGCGGGAATGTCCGCACCACAGCTCCTTCCATTTCTCCTTTGGGGATCTGGTGCACGCACACACACGTGCCTGCTGTTTCTCAAGTCACCAGTCTGGGACTCGAACCAAGCTGTCAGCTCTGGGGGAGCCAGCCACCTAACCGCCATGCCGCCAGAGAGCTTTTTATGTTCTGTCTACTTTGAAAACATCTGAGAGGGCTCTCCCTTTTAACATTTCAAACTAGATTCTAAAGAAACTTTGTATATGAAATGAAGGCTCAACAGAAGAGAGCCCAAATCTGGAAAGTACTGAGTTTTATAAAAAATAAACTTTTTTTTATAAAACTTGAAACCATGGGAAGACTCCTTTCCAGACTGACATTCGGCTGAAATGCTGAAACCACCATCTAGATCCTGACTTTTAGGGCTAGACCCATAGCCTGATGGATAAGGGAGGCCAGATTCCACATGGCTGACTGTGGTTCAAGTCCTGGCCCCAGCAGCTGAAAACCATGCCAGCACACATGTGTGAGTGTCCCAAATCCCGACGGGATGAGACATGGAGAAGGGACATTAGTGTGACCATGCCCATGGGGGTGCTTTCTCCCCTCTCTGTCTCTCTCCGCTGAGCCTGCCCTCTGCCAACTAAACAAATAAAATGAAAATTGATTCTGATTTTTAAAGCTGTATGCTTGCATCCACTTCCGTATATTTAGGATTCTAGCACTGAGAACGAGGACTTCGGATCAGCATGTCTCCTGCAGGTGAACTGACATTGTGCCCTGATTAAATCTAGACGGTATGTATAATTGGGTGAAGCCAAGAGAAACAATCAGAAGTTAAACAAACATGTGGTCTTACCGCTCCGTAATCTGTGTTCCCAAGGTACTCATTAAATAGCAACGCAGATGTAAGGGCGAGATAAGGCAAGGTGACTTACCCAGGGTCACAAGGAATCCCGCAGTTGACTCCTGTTTTCTTCAGTAACTGGCCAAGGCGCTTTTTGGAGGTGACTCTTCTGAGACTTCTGAGTTCTAGAGAACAACTCGCAGGTTAGTATCCGGAGGAAAGTACAGTAGGAAATACGGCAGAGCGCCGTGTACCGACAAGGCAGGAAGAGCTCAGCAGAGGGCCCTGCATGTCACAGCACTGCGGCGCCGCCTACGCCGGCCACGGCGTGCGAGCAACCTAAGCGCCTGCAGTGGACGAGTGGGTAAAGAAAAAGTAGTGCCTGGGGCCAACGGGTGGCGTGGTGGTGAAGGCACTGGACTCCCACATGGCTGACCACTGTTCGAGTCCCGGACCTGGTGGCTTGCTTTCTCACTTTCCTTCTCTCTGTGTGTTTATTTTTCTCTGGTCAAATGAAAATAAATGACGGAATCAATAAAATTAAATTTTTTTTTTTTTGGAGAGGTTTTTGCGATAGGGTGCGTGCGCTCGCCAGACAGAGA